AAATACAGTCAAAGGGAATTTATTTGGATAATTCTCGGAACAATGGTGGATCCTAACCGAAAGATAAACCGTCTGGTCGAAAGGGACGTGAACTTCCTGGAGTCCTGTGAACTTGAGTTCGCAGACCGCTTCACCGACGACGACCCAGAGTTCATGGCGCACTGCAGCAAGCCTGTGCCGGATCCGCCAATCGTGGAGAACTGGATGGGCGGAGGTGGCGGCGGTGGAGGAGGCGGCGGCGGTTTCCAGGGCGGAGGAGGCGGTGGTCATTCTTACCACAATCGCTACAACGGACATCGCAGGGGAGGCGGCGAAAGGGGCTGGCAGCGACGAGGAGGAGCTGGCTACCACAACAACCAGGACAGGGGATTTAGGGGTAATACCCGGGAAGCTTAGTTCCTATTTATAGCTTACGAACCCATTTATTCCCACAGACAACCGCCGCAACAACAGATACGATCCCAGGGAGCGCCGGGATCGGTACGAAGGAGGTGGAGGCTCCGGAGGATCTGGGGGCTACAAGCGCTCCCATGATCATAATCAAAGAAATGATCCTCCAAGCAACGAGCCACCCATGAAGGTCAGACGCGACTATGGAAACTTTGTGCCTGCATCCAAGGATTAGTGATCAAAAATAGCAAATAAGATTACATTGCAAATTGCAAATTATATTACATTGAAATATTCACATTGACGTTTATTTGATGGACTTAAGTCTAGACTAATCCCTGTAATCCCGCTTACACGGCCGACTCGGATATATCCTTATGCTCCTTGTCCTCGCCAGCTGACATGCCCACGCCCATGGCGCTAAACAGATTGGAAACAGGACCTGCGCCGCCCACCTGCGATTGGTAGCTATCCATCATGTTGCGCAGCGTGTTTACGTTTATATTGATGGGCTCAAAGTCCTCAATGTCGTCAAAATCGTCCTCGTCCGCCTGTGGAGGAGCCTTCTTCTTGCCGTGGAAGGATTTGCCCACGCTGGTCTGCGCCAACTCCCGGTCCATCTGCTCCATATACGACTGGATCTGCCGGTCGAGTGGGAAAACACTGCCACCTCCAGAAAGCGAATTTAGATTCCTCTCCATGTCGTCCTCGTCCGCGTAGTCACTCATCTCTGAGGTGGAGTCCCAGTTGTCCTCGGGTATTACAAAGTCCAAGAAATTCCGCACATGTGTGCTGTCCGGTTCCTCCGGCTGGATGACAGAATTTCGCTGGCAAGCCTTGCGCATGGAGGGATTCTTCTTGACCTTTGCCCCCAGTCCTGTGGAACTCTTGGCCTGTGGCGGCGGCTCGTCATCGTCTGAGTCCAGCTCCGGCTCCTCGAGCCCGCGATGCTCAATGCCCTCGTAGTTGGACTGTCGATCTAAAAACTCCGTCAGCTGCTTGGTGAACTCCTCGGCATTCATTTGTCCGTTCGGCTTGTAGAGCTTCTTGGGTCCGTAGCGATCCTGCAGCATGGAGTCCAGATCCTCAGCGCTGATATTCAACCACTCATCCGAGTCGCTGGGCTGCAGGTTGTTCTGCTCATCACGCAGCTCCTCGGAAGCAGCCTCCGCTGGATGTAGCAATAGATCGAGGATCTCTGCGCCGGCTCTGGAGGCTGTGCGGAAACGCTCCTGGTTGCCATGGAAGTACTGCTTGGCCTTGTGCAGCAGCTCCTGGTACTCGGCACTGCCCTCAATGTTTTCCCGGAAGTAGCCCTTGCTCTGCAAGCTCCGCAGATACGATCGCCAGGCAGGAAGATCTTCCAGCTTTTGGCCCTCTACCCGCTTGGCTTGAGTGGCCAGGATCTCCAGTCCACTGGCCAGTTTCAAGCCCAAGAGTTGCTCCTTATACCGTTCCGGCTCGGATACAGGATCTGTTAGATGCCAACCGAGTCTCTTCTCGGGAAGATACTGCTGGTGCGACAGCATGGCGTACAGACAGCGGGTGAAACGCACGTTGGTGCGCACGCGTGCTGCCTCCGGTGGGAAATATCGCATGGTGCGAAGGGCCTTGACGTCCAGCGAGTCCCGTTCACAGAAAGCCCGAACCGCCGAAGAGAGTAATCTTGGCTTTTGTTTCAGAAGCTGTGCAGCGCTGTGCGGGAGTTGCAGCACCTGGCGATGAATGGAGAAGTGCGGCTGGGCGATCTGGTACTCCTTCAGGCGCGCGTCAATACATGACTGTATCTCCCGCGAGCAGCGATATAGGGTGGGATTCATTCGTATACGTTGTACAGCAGTGGCCATGGTCAGTGGCTTGTCCTGGCTGCTGGCGGCGGCGGAGTTCTGGAGGAGCTGCAGGAAACCCCCGACCAGGAAAACGCGATGCTCGCAAGTTTCGGGAGACGCCCAGTCGGGCAGGGCATCCGCCGCCTCGATGAGCAGGAACTCGCCATCTGAATCGCTCACCCGTGCAATGCAGTCCCCGCGAGCACGTGTGATCTCCGTGAGCAGATAGACGACGAACCACTCGTCGCTGATGTTGTCGCCATAGTGGGTTACGCCGTGTAAGTGCGGTGGGAGGTCGCCTGGGCGGGGACATGGAAATGGATGAGTTCAAATGCAGAAATAAGGCTATTTATAGAACATTGTGCGCATACCGAGTTCCGCCTCCTGCTCCGGGTTAATCTCATCGTTCAGCAGGCGCTCTTCGGCGCTGCCCAGCCGCACTTGCAGCTGAAACTCGTCCTTGTGCCACAGATAGCTGCGCTCCAAGGACTTCTCCCGAACAATGGCCGAGATCTCGTTGCGGATCTGGAGCATCAGTTTGCGCAGCGCGCCTTCATCTTGTACGTTGTCGGGTATCTTGGGAAATATGTAGTACTCCACAAAGTCCTCCTCGCGGACGAACTCCAGATTGCTGCCTGGGATCTTGGTCATCCTTTGTCCTTTTGCTCCTCCTCCTTTTTTTTTGTTAGGGCGTTGGAGGTGGCACTATCGACTGGAGCCCGTGCTGCCAGTCTGGCTATCGCATAAAGAAGTTCGTTTACACTGGGCGCGCAGTAGGGTTCCGCATCAGTAGGGCGGTGGATGGCGTGGATAAGCGCTTAGCGGTGACCTAACCCATTCCCGTTATTCATCTGGGCGATTATTAATGAATTTGAAATCAAACTCAAATCAAATCAAACGGAACGTTAAGCGAAAAATATAGTGTTATATATAATTGGCATTTCAGTACATTGCTTTACGACAAGTGCATATTTACAAATTAATGCTTGTGTTCAGATTTATTGAAAGAAATGATACCCAAATATTTATCCGAAATCACTTTAAAGTGCTCTAAATAACTAGGCCAAGCCAAATGCCGTTTTGTTTACTTATTAAACAGCCTCTCCACTCGAATCTAGTTGGACCATTTTCTAGTAAATGTGGTTCACTCACTCATCATTGCGGCATTCCCATCCGTGTAGTTGTTGTAATTAGAAACGCCGCTGCGATTGCCACTTTGCCCAACTCCCATCGGCTTTTGAAAGTTGATAGACAAACAGACACACAAAAGATATAAAACGCTATCTGAGTCTGCTATTTCGGGGCTTTTATTGCTGTCACCATATGAGTCTGAAATCAGACAATCGAAGATTCTCGTGAAAGCTAGACCAAAACTAACCAGAAACAAAGGGCTACAAAGGATACATCATCATGTTCTTGAAAAAGCTATTAGTGAGCGTGGTAGGTATTTTTTGTACTTCTAAATGGGATAAATATATATGCTTATTCGTACTACAAAGTGAGTGACTTACAGAAAGCATTTCATTTCTATTTACCCCATAGTTGATGCTCAACCTGGTGTCCCTCCTCATGGGAGCCACAGTGACCACACGACGCATCCAACCGCGGGAGACGAACTCCTGCGAGGGCCGCCAGAGTCCCGGACCCATCTGTGAGTCCTGTGAGCTGCTGGCCACCTGCGTGCGCCACTCCAACGGATGGGTGAACATACCCGTGGAGTCCTGCGACGTGGCCAATGGATACTACTGCAATGCCCGTCTGGGAAGCTGCACCAACGAGACGGGGCCGTGCCATCCGTTCGGTATCGAGGGCAACTTCCAGTGCACCTCGCAGGGCATCTTCCCGGATCCGTACGACTGCCAGAAGTACCACATGTGCTACTTCGTGGGGGCCACTCTGGTGGCTGCTGCCGTGGATTGTGGCAACGACAAGGCCTTCGATGCGAGGACTGGCCAGTGCACTTTGACCCTGACTGACACCGTCTGCCTGCAGCGACAGTACTACTGCCCGAATGCCGGACACGTGGCCGCCTGGCCCACTAACCCCAATATCTTCTACGTCTGCAAGTCGACGGTTAACCAGAACCTGAACGACACCATCGTCATCTACCCCTCGCTGCACAGGTGTAATGATGGGGAGACCTTCGTGGACTACGTCTGCCGCAGCGGATCGAATGTCCTGCCGCCCAACACCGATGATCCTTCCGTAATCGTCGAGGATCCCAACGACGACGACTTCTCGGTGCTGCCCAATACCTGCCAGCACGTGGGCTTGATAGCCGATGGAAACGACTGCCGAAAGTACTACTACTGCTCAGCTCTGAATGGCACCCTGCGACACATGGACTGCCCCAATGGGACTTTCTACCGCCCCGAGTTGTCCTCCTGCGTCCTGGGAAGCTGCTAAGCAAGATGCATCCCTCTATTTTATTTATTCTTCACAGGATTATACTACATTTGATTACATGGAATAAACAAATCATGTTTACCATGACCGAACGACTAAATTCTATTCTATTCTATTTAAAATTCTATTTCGAAAAGTATGAGTTTGCCGGAATTGGTTTTTTGTTTTTCCGCAGTACTGCAATGGAGAGGTGAAATTAATTCTGGATTTCAAGATGTCTTTGTTCTTTCTTGCTAATTGCTGTGACTAGCTCATAATTGCTTTGATTTTTTCGGGACTACATAGCAGTTTATCTATTAATTATACCGAAACATTCTCCATGTTATGAGGTACTATATAAGGCGGAGTAACGAGGTCTATTTTGTAGTTTGCAACATGGATTATTCTATACTGTTTAGCTGGCTCCTAATTTTCCTGTGGTTTCACATGGGAAACGGGTTGGAGAACGGCGGGTATCGGGAGCTTAGGTTGGATGCAGCAGCTGAATCCTGTCCAGATGATTTCTACTTTAATGAAACTATCAAAGCGTGCGTCTCTACAGACATTACAAGCTGTACCAATCGCCAGATAGGCAAATGTCCGATGGCTACAGATGTGGATAAGTTTTGCCTGTGCGTAGACAACCACCTTCAGATCTGGCAATGTCCCGAAGGAGCTTACTTCGATGCGAATCTATTGGTCTGCAGGATTGGAACCGTTGAGTGCCAGGAGCAACTTCTTGTGTCCGCATGCCCCAACAGCACTGCAAACGACGTCTTTTGCATCTGCATCAATGGAAAATTGCATCATGAATACTGTCCCACGGGGTATATCTTTGATTCCGCGCTGGCGTTTTGCGTGATGCGTAATGACGGGAACTTGCCCAGTTCGTCTGGAAAGTGTCAGCGACTTGGGTTGTTTGCAGATCCCGCCGACTGCTCAGGGTACTATCATTGTCGCGATAAGGGTAGTGATATTGAGTACTACAGATGCTCCGGAGGGACCATCTTTAATCCAATTTCCTTTGCGTGCGTTGCTGGAGCTTGTTGACCCAACGTGTGTAGTTCTTGGGCCTAGCCTATCTTGAAATAAAACTGATTAGCTTGGAAAAAGGTTCAATGAATTTCGGATTTATCAGTTCACGGTTTTGATGACAATCTTGCACAAATTACAATTTTAGCTACGCTTAGTAAGTTTTCTAAAAAAATTATTATAACGTCGTAGTATTTTTCTTTATCAAGTCGATAATACTTTTTAAAGCTTATCTTTTTAATTAAGGAAAAGACACTTGTCTGGCTGATTAGGAGGTGCTATAAAAGATAGTTCCTCAGTTGACCCACCAACAGTCTTCGAGATGAGGTCTTCAGTACCGGTTTTTCTACTCCTGCTCGCTCTGGCGATCGGATCGGCTGGGGCCGATGATAATCCCTGCCAGGATGTGCGCATTCCCGGCTTCGTTTGCCTAGACTGCACCACTTTGGGCTACTGCATCCGCGATGCCACCGGCAGCTGGGAAACGATGTCGATGCTGGGTTGCCAGTCGGAGTACAATTTCTTTTGCAGCGACGAGGGAACCTTCGGATGCACCTTTCAGGCGCAGTGCCAGGTGCCCACGAGGGGTCCCTTCAGCTGTCAGCAGGAGGGCTTGTTCCCGGATCCGTACGACTGCAGGAGGTACCACGAGTGCAGTGATCAGAGTGTGGACACCCCTCGCCTCTGCTCCAACGGAGCGGGTTACTCCACCCTCACGGGCACCTGTGTGCTTCCCCGCGAAAGTGAGCAGTGCACCAAGGAGCAGTTCACCTGCAGTCGATCGGGACAAGTGGGTGGATGGGCGGCTGACAGCCGGTACTTCTACGTCTGCGTTAGTGACGCGGCCAACTCGCTGTATCCGCTGATGATGAAGTGCCACGAAGGATTCGTTTTCAACAGTTACAGCTGTGTGCCTGACACCAGGAGCTTGAGAATCCAGGCGAACGAGTCTCACACGTGCATGAACAACGATAGGTACCCGTGTCCCTTCCGAACCTCTGAAATCGAATACTGCAAGTGCGTGAATGGAGAACTGGAGGTGATGACATGTCCCGCCGGTTTCCATATTGATGCTAGGATCATGACCTGCGTGACTGATAGGATCTATCAATGCTCGGACTTTGAGCTCCTTAGCTGTCCCAATGGCTCCACCAAGGATGAGTATTGCATATGCATCGATCACCAGCTGCAGATCTATAGCTGTCCAGTAGGACAGTATTTCAATGCTGAGACTCTGAAGTGCCAAGCGGAGTCAGAGGAATAAATTTCTCTCATAGTCCCAATAAATGGCTATTCAAAATATAAATTCCCACATTGATCTCTTTATGATAGACGAAAAATAACCTGCCAAATAGTGCACCTGCATAACTATAAACATTCACCAAATTTTAATAAGACCCAGTAACGACAACCATTCAGTTTGAATCTTAAGCCTAAGAAAGTGGAGGGAGCCTGATTTAATCGTCACATTCCCGCACCACAGGATGCAGGACGATCGAGGCTCCGTTGCAGCCCGTCCGATCCGAGATGAAGTCGTGGAAGTTGCTCTCCAGCGCCCACATGAAACGCTTGTGTCCCGGAAGGACTTGGGTGGACAGGCGGCAGTCGCCTCCCCGCTGCACCTCCTGCAGATTGGCGGCCTTGAAGCAGGTCTCCGAGTCCCACAGGTAGATGTCGTTCTCGCCCTTGTATCGGAAGAATAGCGAGGTGCCTCCGTCGGCGCCCAGGAGCACCGCCTGCTTGCCATAGGGCTTGGGACCCACGTCGATGATGGATCCCGCTCCCTGGCCCACGCGCAGGTACTCGCCCTTGATGGAATACAGACGGGGGGAGCTCAGGTAGCTGAAGAACAGGGTGGAGGTGCCGTCCGGCTTCGAGGTGAGCGCCACGTACAGGACATCGCTAGTGGGGGCGGTGGCCTTGGGCAGGACAATGCGGTAGGACTTGTTGCCCGTGATGTCGTACACCAGGATACTGCGGGCTCCAGCGTCAGCCACATATCTGTGGTTGGAGGTAAAGGAAATACAATGGGAAATGAGATTAGATATCGTGTACACAATGGGATTTTAATTGGCTGGTGAATGGCATATGAGCCACACTTCTGAGAACTACCTTGAGCAGATAAGATATGGGCCTCTTAGTGGCTAATTCACTTTTAATTTGCCCAGTGATCATTGATTAAAAGAATCTGACGCTTGGTAAAAGTACTTCAATTGCACTTCAAACTCTTGATTCTGCTTGATGATTTCAACGAATATTTATGACATCAATATGAATTTCTGAATATCTGGATGAAGGAATCTTGTTTCCTCTCATTCATGCATTCATTGTGCTAATAATTATTTGGAGATATTTTTGTACGTAATAATAGTTAGTAATTATCGTAATATTAATGTGAGGCATGGTATTAAACTGAGCCTAAATGTATCTGAATAAAAATGTAATAAATGAATTTTCTTGGATTTTCCAGAAACAAAAAGAAGAATAGCTAGTGGCACTCACACGAATGGCTTGTTGTCCTTGGAGTAGTCGACCACGATGAACTGCAGGCGACTCTCGGAGGTGACCAGGTCGCTCAGGTCGATGCTCTTGACCACCTTGTTGTTGGCCGTGTTTATGGCCACGATTTTGGGACTGCACCTGCGGATGGGCTGCTCCAGAGTGTTGACAATGCCCACGTCCAAGGCCCACAGAAGTCCCTGCGAACGCAGAAACAATTATTAATTGCTATCAATTGCAGCTCATGTTGATTGTTTTTAATGTTTTCATTTGCTGGCGGGTAATTGAAATGTTGACGGCGTTAAAAATTCCACACTCGCAAATATGTGGCAATAAAATGAGTATCAGCGAAAAGCACTGAATGGAAAATTGCGCAAATAAATAAATGCAGTTGCCTCGTTTGTTTGCTGTTTGTTATTGTTTCGTCGACTTTTGTGTAAATAAAATAAAGAAATGATTTGCATAAATGCAGCTAAATGGGCATGGCATTTAAATGAGAACGAATTGACGCCAACAATAATTGAAGGAAATCATTAAGTTGCAGCTTATGCTCGGAATTATAAGCAGTTCATTTGCATTGGGGCATATATACCCATGTAAATAGTACATATCATTGCAGTATCTGCGATGGCATCTGTCATTTAAAATTAAAGCTTACAAGTTCTGAAGTGCAATCGAAATGCACAAAACAAGGTTGGATAGCCTGTTCCAGGCATTTCCGAATTATTTCCGAGAACTTTTCACTGCATTTACATGTCACTTTTCAGCTGCAGTCCTTGCCTTTTACAATATTCCATTTACCCAACCACTTTTTCAGCCGTTATTCTACCCTTCAGTTGCCACCACCAAACCAATTGGCAGTCACGAATTTTATTTGGAGCTCTTCGCTTTTGTCGCCCCGTTTATTTGATTAAAAAAGCAATTTTTGGTCGACAGTCAGGATGGCCGGTTAAAAAGGCCGCCCGCAAAGGGTTAATGCGAAAACGACACCCTGGAGTAAAACTGCTCATTCTGATCGACTTTCAATGGCTAGCTGTGCACAGACACATTACTTTTTTTTTTACTACACATTAATTTTTTTGAATTCGGCACCCGGTAATATGCGAAGCTATCAAAAACCTCTTCCCATTAGGGCATACCCAAGCTACCCTTTAATCCACCCACTATTAAAATATGAATTGAGCATTTGGCAGAAATCAAGAAGGAAATGGGTCGAAAGTGCTATGCCGCCATGGTGGCCAAAAAATAGCAGTGCGTAATGAAAGCCAGAAATGGCATTTTGAATGAGACAACTCTTATGAGCCCCAAAAGAAAAAATGGCCCAAACAATACAGGCGTTAATTGCACTCACGTTCTGATCGACGGCTATGTCCACGACGGACTGCAGCGCCTGGCAGTTGCCCTCCTCCTGGATGGCCCAGCATGGATAGGGGGCGATCTTGGTCAGGCACTCGCCCTTCTTCAGATTGACCTTGCCGAGGGTGAAGGGCACGCCCTGCTTGTATCTGGGCAGGACCACGAAGGCCGAGTCCCGCTGCAGCTGGGCCCGGGTCACGATCACGTTCCGGGGCACGTAGCGGCCGGACTGGACGTAGATGTTCTTGGTGGACTCACAGGGCCAGTGGAGGCTGCTGCCACTCAGCTGGAAGGTCAGTTCGCTCAGCGGGTTCTTGTCGCACTTGGTGCCCCCAATGGCGTTGGAGGCGTCCGTCGATTCGTCGGTGGAGGAGCTGTATCCTGCCAAGACCAGGGAGGCGGAGGCAACGAGGAGCAGCAGGGGCAGCTGCGACATTTTCGGGCGTTTCTTTCTGCGCTTTCCACAAAGTGAGCTTCTTCACCCGGTTCACCACGTTGGCCAGCACATAAAACTGCCTGAGCGACGGCAGACCTGCATTTATATATAATACCCGACGACTTGTGCAGCCGGCATCTGGAGCGTGTTGCAGCAAGGTCGTTAGATGCTTGACACGGGGGGAAACAAGTGTCTGTCTGGCGTGGTTACCACCCAGCCAGCACGTCTGGCCTAATCCGGAAATCGGTCAGAACTCTTAGCCCGCTTGGCCACTCGGTTTCTAAGCAATGCGGAAACCGATGCGGAAAAGATATGCAAATGTGACCCCTTCTATAGTGTCAGCTCTACCTGGATTACTTGATTTTTCCTGAGCATTTAAATCAAATTTTCTGGATTTTTACTCCACTTATTTTCAATCTAATTGGCTTGATAACTATTTTTTCTATTTTGGCTATCTGCCTGCTTAATTAATCACTTCTGCTCCATTTATTAGTTTAAGTTTCCCCATATCAGCTTGTACTATGATGGCCATTTATGGGTACCTAATGAGTCACACTATTCCGTTCAATAAAATGGGCTAAAGTTGGGAAATTGCTGCTGTCACTCATCGATCGCTTGCGTTTCTGCATCCGACGGAGAACCAAGTTACACCCCTTGGCAGGCAAAGTTCAAGGGTCACTGCGAAACTGTCGGCAAAGTGGCCCAAAAGTTCAATATCAATGCTGAC